GGTGGTCATACATCGTCGGGTGGTCATACATTGTCGTGTGGTCATACATCGTCGGGTGGTCATACATCGTCTTCCAAACCTGATTTATTTCTATATTTTCGAGTAATAATTAACAATAGCTGTCGTTACCTTTGTTCTCATCATCTTTACCTTTTCAGATCAGTACGATTAGTTGGTTTGTTCTAAAGCACGCGCCAAGCTATTCGAGGGCTATTTGCGCTAGTCGTTCCTAATTGGGCAGCAAAAGACTAGAGGTTTGTTTGAAGCTAAGCACAATGGGCTATCTGTGCTCTGCCCACCACGGGTATCGAAACTCGGATTTTCTAGTGTGTAAGTCTGCAAACTAGGAAAGGAGCGATATAATATAGCATTCTAACGGGTGAGGTCTATGTTTTCGTTTTCAGGTGAGTTCTATGTGTTCGTATTCAGGTGAGTTCTATGTGTTCGTATTCAGGTGAGTTCTGTGTGTTCGTATTCAGGTGAAGTCTATGTGTTCGTATTCACGTAAAGTCTATGTGTTCGTATTCAGGTGAGTTCTATATATTCGTATTCAGGTGAGTTCTATGTGCTCGTATTCGGGTGAGGTCTATGTGTTCGTATTCACTTGAGTTCTGTTCGTATTCAGGTGAGGCCTATGTGTTCATATTCAGGTGAGTTCTGTTCGTATTCAGGTGAGTTCTATATGTTCGTATTCAGGTGAGTTCTATGTGTTCGTATTCAGGTGAGTTCTGTGTGTTCATATTCAGGTGAGTTCTATATGTTCGTATTCAGGTGAGTTCTATGTGTTCGTATTCGGGTGAGGTCTATGTGTTCGTATTCTGTAGTCAGCTATAACTGCCATCACTTCAGACTTCGGTATGTCCCCCCCCCCTCCAGTGGCACAGCGGTATGTCTGCGGATTTACAACGCTAGAAACCGGGTATCGATACCCATGGTGGGCAGAACACAGATAGTCCATTGTGTAGCTTTGTGCTTAACTTCAAACAGACTTCGGCGTAGAGACATATAATTTTCTTTGTAGTCAAGCACAAAGATGCAGAATAGGCTATCTGTGCTCTGCCCACCACGGGTATCGAAACTCGGTTTCTAGCATTGTAAGTCTGCAGACATACCGCTGTGCCACTGGGGGGGGGGGGCAGGAAACATATAATTGAGACACGATAAAAACACCTTAATGTTTTGCCATGTTGCAGTTACTACAATAAATTCAGGAAGTAACAGTTATTTGGAAAATGTAATAAAATTAGTTTTTTTTTTTAATGTTTACATCATTCATGTTCCGAGAAAAATAAAATAAAATAAATACTTACTTATAACCCGGAATTATTTCACTTTATTAAACGTCATACATGTATGTATATATATATATAAGGAAAAGAAAGCTTTATTACATATCCTCACGCTCTGTGTTATACTTTCTATTTACTGACATAGTTTAAACAACAATCTCATCAAACAGTTAAAAGGCGTTACATATGAAACACGTATTTGTTTGAAATATTCTTCATCCTCAGATGTTATCA